CAGACAGTGTTGGAAACATGCCTCCTTAATGATCTAGATTGTCGATAGGGACGTAAAAACTCCTACATTTTAAAAGAAAATAGTAAAAGAAATCAGTGGCGTACATCTTCCGAGTATCCAAATCCTCTGAGGTTCTCGATGGTCCAAGGCGTCTGATGGAACATAATCTGTAGATCCGGCCAATTGAGTTTCTTGCTTGTCTCGTTCGTGGAGTCAAACACTTGCACCTCCACATAGTGACTGGAGCTCAGCACACCTGCAATAGTTTGGTTTTTGTGTAATGAAAACATCATTGAAATAACGAGAATCAAGAGTGGAAAAAAACAGAAAGAGAGGAAGACCATGAAAAAAACGTGTTATCTCTTTCTCTTATAAGCTTTAAGGCCTTTGCAACACAGTAAGGTTATAAATTGTTTAAGAAGATCGAGCCAATGTGAAAATTAGCATACGGGAGCTGAGTCTGGAACCCCCAAACATGCAATCTCACCATTACAAGTTCGGTAGCCTAACCATTAGACTACCGACACCACGAAGACCACGATACTATTTTTCTTTTGTTTTTGTTGTTGTTGTTGTTGTTGTTGTTGTTATTGTGGTTGTTGTTGTTGTTGTTGTTGTTGTTGTTGTTGTTGTAGTTGTTGTTGTTAGTAAGAGTTCCATGGCATTTGCAGCTCAAAAAGATCATATAAGTGCCAAAGATCGGATGTGCTATTTACAAGGAAAAGAAGGAGAGATAAGGACTATATTATGTACGTTTGATTGGAGAGCAGGAGCAAATGATACGAGAGCACCCACCCACTACCCACTGACACCAAGTTTCCACAGAAAAATTTTGATGCAGCGTAGAGATTACTGATTTTTTTGTTTTTAATACTCGAAGACTTTCATTACACTCACGGGACTCACAGAGAGTTGTAATTGCACCTTGGGATTCATAACCCCAACAACCCTCAAATAAAGACAGAAAAGGTCAAAGAACTCTTGTAACCATAAAAGGGATGTAACAAATTATATTATTAATTTTTTCTATTAAAAAAACGAAAATTAAGAAAGAGAAACAGAAGAAGAGCATGAAAAGAATGTGCCAAATCGTATAGGTATATTGCCCCTTGCAAACACTATAGTATTATTGAAGAGACGGAACTTCAAGCTTTAATGGCCATCTCCGATAGGACCGAGGTCAATGGGGAAAAATTCGTATAACTATCCGAGCCCTTTATTACTGACCAGATCCAAAAAGCCTCAGTTTCATGTCCGTCCACCAGGACTCCTGAATGGCCGGAGTGGCGCTGACCGTTGTGTTGAGCCCGATGGAGTACTCAAAGAACAGGTGATCGTGTAGGTTCTCACCCACAGGGAGGTCGGCCACGACAGGGATCTGTCAGTGTCAGGTGAGGTAATCAGTGAGTAGATCAGTCAGGAAGCAATGAATTGTTCAATTAAGAATCAGTGAATGGATCAATCAAGAATCAGTGAGTAGATCAGTCAAGAAGCAATGAACTGTTCAATCAAGAATCAGTGAATGGATCAATCAAGAATCAGTGAATGGATCAATCAAGAATCACAGGATGGATCATTCAAGAATCAGTGAATGGGTCATTCAAGAATCAATGAATAATTGATCAATCAAGAATCAATAAATTGTTCAATCAAGAATCCATGAATTGATCTATCTAGAATCAATGAATTGATCAAGCAAGGAAACAATCAAGAAAGCAGGCAATTATTGTATTTATCTGTCTGTCTATCTATCTATCTATTCATCTGTCTATCTATCTATCTATCTATCTATCTATCTATCTATCTATCTATCTATCTATCTATCTATCTATCTATCTATCTATCTATCTGTCAGTGCGACAGACAATTTATCAACTACTAAACTATAAAATGACAGCAAAGTCTCTCCACTAACAGCGCTGACACAATACTGAACGAATTTAAATGCAAATGGCTGCTGTTCGAATCCCCAATGCTCTCTCTCTCTCTCTCTCTCTCTCTCTCTCTCTCTCTCTCTCTCTCCCCCTCTCTCACCCTCCCTCCCTGCCTCTCTCCTTCCCCTTTACCCCCCTCGCCCCACTCTCTACTGACTATCCTACCTCCCTCCCTTCCTCTTACCCTCCCCCTATCTCCCTCCCTGCCTCCCCTCTCTCTCTCTCTCACTCCCTCCTCTCTCTCCTTCTTTCTCTCTCTCTCTCTCTCTATCTCTCTCTTTCTCTCACTCTCTCTCTCTCTTTCACTATCTCTCCCCCCCTCCCCTCCCTCATCTAAACCTACCCCTATTTGTTCGAGATGTTTCTTCGGGCCTATCCCACTCAGCATGAGGATCTGTGGCGAGCCGATCGCGCCAGACGAAATGATGATCTCCCTGGCGGCATACACCTTCTCCTTTCGTCCGTTGCGAATCAGTTCCACACCGACGGCTTTCTTACCCTCCATGATGACCTGTGGACGAGAGGGGAAAGATGAGGGTCTTGAGAGAAGATTCAGCTTCCTTCCTGTTTGTGGGTTCTTCTGTTTGTGTTTTTGTAATTTTGTTTTGTTTTTTTGTTTTTCTTTCAAAATAAACTATTTTTTGGTGGTTGAGAGCATGGGAGTGAGGATGGGGGGGGGAGTATTCTTTGGCTCGTATTTGGTTTGAGGGGATGGTAGTTTGCTTGGGGGTGGGGGTGACATAATAAGTCATGATTTGACAAGACTGTCTACTTGCCTATGTGTGTGTATGTGTTCGAGTGTGTGTGTGTGTGTGTGTGTGTGAGAGAGAGAGAGAGAGAGAGAGAGAGAGAGAGGGGGGGGAGGGAGAGAGAGAGAGCGTGTGTTCTTATTACATAATCATCAACTATAATTACGGATGTCAATAACATAACTTGAGACCAAACAAGTGGATGACCTAATTTGGTGGAAGCACTGTTATAGTCTAACAACGATTATATTACGTACTACATACAATATTTTTTAAAAGTTTGAAACGGAAAAAGCGTTCATTATCCCCTTTATTCGATCATTTACCTCTTCCCCCTCTGGGAGCCTATAATGGAGCTATTAAGTGATACGTGCTGATGTGCAACAGGGCCTCAGATTATTGGACACATTAAGCTTTTCTTTGTTCATATAAAAAGTAGGCTGACAGAAGATGGATCAGATAAGTGTTTAAGTACTTCCGGGTCTCTGGATAATGGAGCCAAGCTTTTGTTTGTAACAATAACTCACTCACTCGACCGTTGACACGCGCTGTAAAGTGGGCGGGGCGGGGGTGAGAGCAGAAAATGTCGAGTTTTTTCGCCATATTAGTCTAATGTGTTGCATCGTGGTTAAATCAGGCGCTCGTCAAAACAATGAAATCGAAGAAAATCGTTGATCAAAGGCAAAAATAAATGTAAATTCGCAGTTTCCAAGGACTCTTCAGCTTTGGAAGTCACCAAACTTAAGTTGCTATTTTCTAGCTAATTCTTCCAGGCGACCCCCACCTCCTTCAAATGCAAAAATCTCAACTTCAATTTGAGATTGACGGGTTGGAGTGTGTGTGTGGGGGGGGGAGTGGTATCTCAGGTATTTTCAGGGAAGCCTGCACTGTTTCTAAGTGTTGTTAAGTCTGCTGGTGTAGTGATATAGACTGTAGGACATAACTATTACATTATCATTACATGTTTAAACCGCTCCATGTCATAAACGTTCTTTCACTCTCTCCCTCTCTCTCTGTGTGTGTGTCTCTCTCTCTCTCTTTCCCTCTCTCTCTGTCTCTCTCCCTCTCTCTCTTTCCCTCTCTCTCTGTGTGTGTCTCTCTCTCTTTCTCTCTCTCTCTCTCTCTCTTTCCCTCTCTCTCTGTGTCTCTCTCTCTTTCTCTCTCCCTCTCTCTCTCCCTCTCTCTCTCTCTCTTTCCCTCTCTCTCTGTCTCTCTCTCTTTCCCTCTCTCTCTCTGTCTCTCTCTCTCTTTCTCTCTCTCTCTCTCTCTCTCTCTCTGTCCCTCTCTGTCTCTCTCTCTCTCTCTTTCCCTCCCACCTTTTGTTTCACCAAAAGAAAGACAAATGAATAGGACTTAAGATGTTTCCCAATAACTCTGTATGCCCGAGAATTGACGAGCGCCTGATTCCAAAGCACTGTGCCACAAGTTCCTCCATCTGTTAAGATAACAGAGTAGACTTAAGAAGGACTAGATTCTAGACTCGGTTCTTAGATTATCTTTACGTTACAGGTACAGCAGAGATCTACCCAACCGGAACATCTGGATTGGTCTAAGGAGACCACGTTTGATTCCACTCCATAATGACATACTCCATTACCAGATGGTGTTAAAAATTGACGAGTGTCTGTGAGAGAGTGTGTGTGTTGGGGGGGGGGGGGGG